GACAGGTGTGAGGAATTTTAGTGTGTAGGAGCTGCCATGTATAGGTCCTGCCAATAAGAGACACAGAGCCAACGTTCTGTGAGGTTGGAGGAATGTGAGAGCATGCTGTAGGCATGTGAAAGGAGCTGTGGAATAGGAGGAGTGACCTGAGATTGTAGGACCCCAGAAGTGTAAGCTGGAACATCTATTATTGGAAGTGGGGTCACCAGCTGGGTTTTTAGGGTTAAAAAGTTGCCACACCTGTTTTTGTCCTGATTATCAAAGGAGAGGCCCCAGGTCTTTTCCTGGAGAAGTTGGGGATGTGATGTATTGAGGATTGAAAACATTATCCACCTGACACCATCACCCCATTTTACACACCCAACTCAGATGAGAGGATCTGCATCCTTTAGTACTTGTCCCCCTGAATTTATACCTACGGTTTTGCAACCCGAAGTGTTGAGATAGAAGATGCTGGTATCGGTGTATTGCCTCTGGTGAAAAGTGGCAGGCCAAGGAATGACGTATAAGCCATGAGATGGCAACATGGTTTTTGGGGGCCACTGCATAAATGTCTTGGTGTCGGGGCCCAGACGTGTGCAGTCACCCGTCGGACTTGCATCTATTTGTCTGCTTCCCAGGTACGTTGAATGGGCACCATCTGACAGTATGGAACCTGAAAAGTTGTGAGAACACATTATCCCTTGGTCAGAGAGAGAGAGTTATGGTGTAGGAAGTTCGTGTTTGTGTAGTGGAGCTGGAAAAAGGTGGGAGTAGTATGAGGCTCAGAAACAGAATCATATTTGTGAGGCCTGAGGTAGACAGAGGGTGGAGATCCCAAAGGCTGTTATCAAGTATAGGAGGACAACGGCTAGCTTTTGTGGCACCTAGAAATCACTTGGGCAAACAGTCCACAGTCCGACAGCAAATGCAAAGTTAAGTAGTACATAGAGGACCAAGAGCAGAAAAGGGTAACAATACATTGGTTACCTTGGTAACTCACTAGAGGTTCTAGTGAGTTTTAGATGGGTAGGAGATGAAAGTTGTGATGACCACTCTAGTGTTGGAGGTTTAGGGTCTGGAGTGACCAGGTTGTTGGAGCACCTTTTTGCCTGGGTGATGTGGAATCAGGATGGAAGGCCGGTGACCTTGATCACTGTGGGAGTCATGAAGACCACCAAGTGGAGGCCTCCCCACCTTGATTGTAGTCCTGTAGGCTTAGAAGTTTTAAGATACATTAAGTCTCCAAGGGATATGGGTGGCTCTGGCTTTTTGCCATCCACTGGTTGTGGAAGACAGAAGTCAGCATATTGACGCAATAGGTATGGAAGAAAAGATAAAATTGGGATGTAGTCAGTAATAGGGGGTAAGTTGTCAGGAGTTGGGAAGTTATGAAGCAGAAATGGCCTACCATACATGAGTTTGAAAGAACTCAAGAAAGTGAGTGTTCTAGGAAGTGCCCTGAGCTTAGTTAATGCTAGGGGGAGAAGCTGGGGCCAAGGCAGGTGTAATTTTAAGATTAGCTTGTAAGGTGAGTCTTTAGAAGTCCATTTGCCTTTTCTACCTTGCCCGAGGATTGTGGATGATATGGTATGTGTAAGTGTCAAGTAATGTTAAGGCTAGAAGAAACCTGTTGAGTAATCTGTGAGATAAATGCTGGACCATTATCTGACTGGATAATCTGGGGAAGTCCAAACCTGGGGATGACGTCCTGTATAAGGACCTGGGAAACTACATCAGCAGTTTCTCGTGTGGTGGGGAATGCCTCTATCCACCCAGAAAAGGTGCAAACAAGGGTGAGAAGATATCTGTAGGTTTTGTAGTGGGGCATGTGTGTGAATTCGACCTGCCAGTCTTTACCTGGTGTTTTTTCCTCAGAGCTGGTGAGTTGGGAAAGAAGGAGGTGGCAAGTGTCCCTAAAGGGAAGTTTACAGAATGAAGGGTTGGGTTGGGTCAGGTAAAGTGAGAGCTGGGGCTTTCAAAAAAGCCTCTTGTAGCTTATGGAAAGAGCTCTGTAGAGGTTTGGTAGGGTTGAGAGGTTTAGACAAGGAACCCTTGGATGTCTTATAGAAAGGCTGAGCAAGAGAAGCCAAGTTAGGAATCCAGAGACGAAAAAAGTTTGTTAAACCAAAGAAAGAGAGGATTTGTTGTTTTGTGGTTGGGATGTGGAGGTCACGGAGAACCTTACGGTCTGTGGTAATGGAACAAGTGGTGGGAGTGAGAGTGAGCTCCAAATATTTGAGCTTCAGAGAGGCTATTTGGGATTTGTCTGGGGATACTCTATATTCTCGGTTTGACAGAAAATTGAAGAGAGTAGCTGTGTATTGTATCACCAGTGTATGGGAAGGGGAATAGAGAAGGAGGTCATCTATGTATTGGAGTAGAGTGCTGGGTTTAAGGTTAAGGGCCTCTAGATCTGTAGCTAGGGCTTGACTAAAGAAGTGAGGGCTATCTCTGAATTCCTGGGGTAGTACTGTCTATGTGAGCTGTAGAGATCAAAGAGTATCTGGGTCTGTCCACGTAAAGGCAAAGAGGTTTTGGCAGTCTGGATGCAAGGGAATGGTGAAAAAGGCATCTTTGAGGTCCAGAACCATAAAGTAAGTTGTGGAAAGGGGAATATGGGAGAGCATGGTGTAAGGGTTACACACTACAGGATGAATAGGTGTGACTGTATTATTAATAACCCTGAGGTCTTGAACTATGTGATAGGAGCCATTGGGTTTGATTACCAGCAGGAGTATTGTAGGGTGAGTGGGTGGCTTTAAGAAAGCTGTTAGCAAGGAGACACAGGATTATGGGTTTAAGTCCCTATTGATGTTTGGGGGCTATTGGGTATTGGGGAATGCAGGGAAAGGCTGATGGGTCCCTGAGATGGATGCAAACAGGGAGAGTATGGGTATCAAGGGTAGGGCTGGACATGTCCCAAACTTTGGGATCAACCAGTGAAGGGGGAAGGGGAGGGTCGGGATTGGCTGTGTGTGGTGGCGAAGCTTGGCGAATGAGAGCTGTAGGGGGGGAGAATGTGAAGAAGTTAAGCTTTTGGAGGATATCTCTGTCTTCTAGAGGTGTGGGACATGTATCACCCAAAAAACTATGAGTAAAAAAAGAGATTGCAATCTGTAGGGGATAGGCCCTGCTTGTAAGGGCTATTTTGGTCAGTTATCAACCCCCATAATAGAGACTCTAGATCTAATACATGGATGTGAAAACTCAGGAAGAACACTGTGTGCGGCCCCTGTGTCAACAAGAAAAGAGAGTGTCTTATCTAAGACTCTTAGCGAGACTTGGGGATCCAAGTAGGATACCTTAATGGGGGCCATGGAGCCCAAGCCCCATCAATCTTCTTTAGCAGCAATGTCCAGGAGATCAGCAATCGAAGAGTCCTGTGGTGGCAAGTTGTCCTGTGAGGGTAGGGCAATGGATGACTTACCCACTCTCTGGCAGTGGGGCAGTCTAGTCTCATTTCCAGTGGCCCTCGAGGTTGTAGATGGGACAAGGATTCTTGGGTGGTCTTGAGTTGGGGCAGGCTTGTAGTGGGCAATGAATCTTAGCATATTATTTTAGATAAAATAGTTTGGTAAAAGTCTGCATGGTGCTTTGGGAAGCCTCCCGGGACAGTGCAAGAGCTAATTCCCCAGATCAACACCGCCCAGGAATGTCTCCCCAATATAAGGGTGCGCCTAGGCCTAGGTGACCCTCCGTGACCCTGCCTGGGCAGTTCTGTCTCCTGGCCCTAGGTAAACATTGTAACCCTAAAGGAATGCATAGGTTATAAAAAAGGAGATAATGGGGCGAAACATCTACCATGGTTAGAC